AGTTTTAGATGTTTATGAAATCTAGTTTTTTAGATCATGCTTTTTGTCATACTTTTAAGAAATCTTTGCCTAATGCAAGGTCATTTTTTTTCTTATGTTTTCTTGTAGAACTTTTATTTTGGCTACTAGGCATTGAACTCAGGGGCACTCAACCACTGAGCCATTACCTTTCTCCTTTCCCCATCCATGACAAATAGACCACTCCTTCACCCCTTTTCAGATCCTGAAGATTTCTGCAATTATCTCTCATTCACATAAAATTACTTCTGGATTACTTTTGTAAAGTTATATAATAACCAGTAACATCTTCATCTAAGTTAAATATACTGTTATGTGTTTAATTTAGTTATCTTAGTCCCATTCCCCAATATAGACCATTTAAAATTTGTTATTGTCCTGGGAACTCTACTCTTTCCACCTGTCCTTGAGTATTCTACATGTTATATATTTTTCATCACTCTTACCCTTCTTTATAAGAATACAATTATTTAAATGTAAAATATTCTATAACTTTCTTTTTCAAGTAATACCGTGAAAGTGGTATATGCTTCCTGAGGACTACACGATTGTCCATCTTGTTCACCAAAAGTGGTATATGCTTCCTGAGGACTATACAATTGTCCATTTTGTTCACTTTGAAGCCCTACTCCTCAATATAGTATATGATGGTGGTAGCTGTGCAATAAATATTTCTTGAATAAATGTTAAACTGGTCAGAAATACGAGACTCCAAAACTCCAAGAGCTGTTTTCCTCCTAATGACTGAGTGACTTTACCATCATAAAATATAGGTTTTATTTTGTTTAGAGTAGTCACAGAAGCTGCAGATGTTGGGAAAACTCGGAATGAAGTTCTTTTTTGTATGTTTGTACTTATTTATCATCTGTAGACTTTAACTAAATAGGTAATGAAAGAGCAGTCTCATTCAGAGCCCATTGAAGGGAAGTGGAATGAAATTGATAATTAAATTTTTCTTTATCTTGTAGTGTAAACTAGTTTTTGAATTCTATCAATTTTTAATCTTTTTAATTGTGGGTATTGGTGATTGAACCCAGTGGTGTTTTACCCAAGAGCTACATCCCCAACCCTTTTTATTTTTTATTTTGAGACACGGTCTTGCTAAGTTGCTTAGGGCCTCACTAAGTTGCTGAGGTTGGCCTCAAACTTGCAGTCCTCCTCCCTCAGCCTCCCAAGTTACTGTGATTATAGGCGTTTGCTACCATGTCCAGCTAAATCTTTAATTTTGTCAGTATGAATCTACAGTAGGCAGTGTGATTTGCTAGGTGCATTTGAAATGATTATTTATCATTTAAATGATACATTTTGTTATTTTGAAATAGGGTTTTGTAATATGCTTACAAGGTGAAATGTTGATACTGAGAACCTGATGGAAAAATAATGTTAATTCCCTGCATTTGAGTCCTCTAATTTTTAATACTACAGTTGAAAACCTGATGTTTGAGGCAATAGTGATCATCAGAACTATAGTCGCAACTAAATTACTGAATTAACCCAAATTAAAAATGTTTTAACTTACATAAGTTCGTTTTAAAGGATTAAGGCTTGTGTTTCTATTGGCATTTTAATCAAATCCAAGAGAGATTTCTGACTCTATGTCCTTATTAATATTATTTTGCTTTTTAGACCCTACTTGACTTGCAGACTTGACTCCAGTATAATAATAGAGTATTTCAATATACCTTTCTCTCTAGTAGATAGGTCATCTACTCTAAACTCTGTAAATAATCTTCAAACCCCCAAATTATTAATTAAATGGATTTAATAGACATCTTTTGAATATTTCCTCCAACAATAACTGAATTCACTTTCGTCTTAGCTGCTCATGAAACCTTGTTCAAAGTAGATCATATTTTTCTTATCTAAACAGACCATATTAGGCTACAAAGCAACTCTTAGCAAATATTAAAAAACGGATATAATTCCTTGCATCTTACCATATTAAAATGGAATGAAGTTATCAGTCAACATCAAGAAAAACTACAGAACTATATAAACACATGGGGATTGAACAATATCATTTTGATTGACGAATGAGTCATAGAAGTAGTCAGGGGAGACATTTAAAAGATTTTGGAATCAAACCAGAATAGTGACACAACATACCAGAAACTTTGGGACACTATGAAAGCAGTTCTAAGAGGAAAGTTTATAGCTCTAAGTGCCTATGTAAGAAAATCTGATGGACCCCAAATAAAAAATCTATTGATTGATCTTAAAGCCCTAGACAAACAAGAGACAACCAATTTCAAAACCAGTAGAAGGAGGGGAATAATTAAGACCAATCTGAAATAAAATAGAGAATTAAAAAAAAATACAAAAGATCAGTGAAACAAAGAGTTAGTTCTTTAATAAATCCTTAGCCAAACTAACCAAAAGAAACAGAGAACAGACCCAAATTGATAAAATTAGAGATGAAAAAGGAGATATTACCACAGATATCACAGAAATCTAGAGGATCATTAGGGATTACTCTGAGAATTTATACTCCAATAAATTGGAAAATCTAGAAGAAATGCATACATTCCTAGACACATAACCTATCAAAGTTGAACCAAGAGGAATTTAGAAAACCTAAAGTGATCAATAATAAACAATGAGATTGAAGCAGCAATAAAAAGCCTTCTAAAACCTGGGACCAGATGGATACTCAGCTAAATTCTACCCAGGTCTGTAAGGAAGAACTAATGTTAGTGCTCTTCAGATTATTCCATGAAAGAGGTGGAACACTTACAAATTTGTTTTGTGAAGCCAGTCTCACCCTGATACCAAACCAGATAAGAACACATTAATGAGTTAAACTACAGACCAATATCCCTGAAAGCATTACATGTAAAAATCATTAATAAAAATTAGTCATATTCAAGAACATATTAAGATGATTGTATATCATGACCAAATTAGTTTCATTCCAGGAATGCAAGGATGGTTCAACATACATGTCAATAAATGTAATTAAAATAAATAAGTAAATAAATGTAATTCTCTATATGAATAGAATTAAGGACAAAATCATCACATTGTCACTTCAATAGATGCAGAGAAAGCCTTCAACAATATTCTGCATAATAAAACTATGGAGGAAACTAGGAATAGAAGGAACTTGCCTCAACATCAGAAAGTCTATATTTGGTAAATTGAAAGCCAACATCATGGTGAATGGAGAAAAATCGAAAGCATTTCCTCTAAAGTCAGAAGCAAGATGAGGATGTCTCCTCTCATGATGCCTATTCAGTATAGTACTAGAAATTTTAGCCAGGGTAATTAGGCAAGGGAAGGAAATACAAATAGGAAGGGATATAAACAGGAAAGTACAAAGTCAAATTATTACTGTTGGCAGATGATTTGATCCTATATTTGGAATCTAGAAAGCTCCACCTTAAGACTGCCAGAACTAATAAATTCAGAAAAGTAGCAAAATACAAACTCAACATACAAAAATCAATAATTTTCCAACATACCAATAACGGATTCACTGAAAAAGAAATCAGGAAAACAATCCTGTTCACAAGAACCTCAAAAATAAAATACCTAGGAATAAATGTAACAAGACCTCTACAGTGAAAATCATAGAACACTGAAGGACATTGAGAACAACTCTAGAAAATGAAATGACTTCACACGTTCATGGGTAGGCAGAATTAATATTGTTAAAATGATCATAACCAAAAGTGATATACTTATTCACTAAAAATCCTCATCAAAATATCATTGTCATTCTTCAGAAAACTAGGAAAAACTGCTAAAATTCATAATGGAATAGTATTTTCTGTATTCTCTACATGTAACAAATTTTAGACAACAAAGTCTTCCATTCAGAATATTAAATCTAAATTTTACTTAGAAATAGTCTCAATTCGGACACTTGGTTTAGGGTTGTGTGTGTGAAAATATAAAAGACGAACCAACTACAAATACATGGCAATTGCAGATGATATGCAGCAGTTTAATTAGGCACAGAACTTTGTATCATTTGTTATACTTTGTTAGATCTGAAGTGAATTTATTTTCTTCCTTTTGCCAAAGCAGTAATTTTTATATTGGACTTCTTGAATAGGTTACGTTAGGGCCGTTTGTCATTTACTTTGTATGTGTCACATTTGAATAGTGGAGTAGTTGGTCATCATTGATGATTGTGTTGTGATTATGAAAAAGACTGCATAATATTAATTTTGATCAAGGTGGCCATGTAACTTATCCAATTGGAAACCTTTGAAAGTAAAGAAAGAGTGATATTAATAATTACCTTAGAAGAACAGATATAAATTAAGACTGTCAAACCAAGAAATGTAATCATCCAAATTACAATGCTTTTGAGAGAAAGTATCAGAAACCATAACACAAATTACCTTAGTAAGGGAAATAGATACTGGCTTTATTGGGATTACCATAGGTGTGATTCCTTGAAGCGTGCAGCTTTCTCTGTTTTCTAAAACTGTTTTCTCCAGCTGGTGTTCCTTCTCTTTGTTGAAGGATTGCCCTCAGCAATCTGGACTATATATTCTTTTTTATTTATGATCAGAAGGAGAGAAAAGTCTGCTTTTCTCATAAGCATAGAATGCGTTTGAACTATTCTCTGGTCAAGGGGGGCGTCATGTACTGATCTGATATCTGAAATATCACTGAAAGAAATAAGAGATTCTTATTTATTCTGATTCTTTTAGACTAATATATTTAGGACACTGTTTGTAAGGTCACGCTATCTAGGAAAGCAGTGCATCTAAATGAAGGGGAAGGAATTAAGAACCAACTATAATGTCCTCTTTGAAGTCTAGAGTCATTGCTTGTTTGCATTTTACTTTAGGTGTCTTTTAATGTTTTCCTACAAGAGTCTAGCATGCTTAGATGATAAGTTTTCCTCAAATGAGAATTTTTAGTATAAAAAGACTTAGTAGCCTGGCAATGGGAGAGAAAAAGAAAACTTTCCATCTCATTTTCTCTAGAAGACTATAGTAATTATTGATGACCTTTTTTTTTCACAGACTAATAGGGATGCCAAAGGAAAAATATGATCCTCCAGATCCTCGCAGAATTTATACCATCATGTCAGCGGAGGAGGTAGCCAATGGGAAAAAATCTCACTGGGCAGAATTAGAAATCTCGGGTGAGTGGAATCTGAAGCATTTTATTTGAGATATACTAGTACAAATGAATAAGGGTATTGCTATTTTGATTTTAATTAGGTGGACTAATTGAAAGTATACAAGAATGCCAAGGTACTAGTTTTTTTTTTTTTTTTAAATCTGTTACTAAGTATATTTGTTCCCACCCTTTCTTTGAGATTAATTACCTTGAGTAAGAGTTACCATCTGGAATTGAGGATTATTGGAAGTTCAGATTCTAAGTAAAACCAGGTTTTGTGATATAATAGATTTTGTTTGATTCTTTCAGAGTAATTTTGGCAAATTAAAATTTTTGCCATCCTCCTGTCACTTAAGTGTTGGTAAAGAAGGAAAACTTCTTTGGTGGCAGACACAACATCTTTGTTTGTATGTGGTGCTGAGGATCGAACCCGGGCCACACGCATGCCCAGGCAAGCGCGCTACCACTTGAGCCACATCCCCAGCTAGGAAAACTTCTTTGAAGGTTTGAATTGAAGCTATTCTAACAAATACATGATTACTTTGTGTTACAAGACCTCAATAAATGTTTGGGATTTGTTAAAATAGAATATAACATCAGACTAACTCAAACTGAAGTACATTCTACAAAATACCCACTACTAAGCCTCAAAATTATCAAGGTTGTGAAAAACAAGAAAAGAATGAAAAACTGCCATAGACCAGAGGAAATTAAGGAGATATGATGACTAAATACAAAATAGTAGCTGGAGTTGAATCCTGGAACAAAAAGGTGTAAAAACTGTTGAAATCCAAATAAAGTCTAGATTTTAGTTAACGGTAATATACCAATATTGGTTTCCTGGTTTTGTAAAGTTCACCATAGTAATGTAAGATTGTAAAATGAGGAGTAAGAGATATGATTCCCTGTATTATTTTGGTAACTTTTGTGTAATTCTAAAATTATTACAAAGTAAAAAATAGATTGTAAGAAATGTTTTTCTTTTCTGAACTGCTATAATGCAGATTATATGGGATGTGATTTTTCCCAGTAGGCTTTTGTTTGGAAGAGTTAAACTCACATCGTAATATCAGTGGCAAGCATGGCAAGAATAACTCATACATGTAGCTAAAAGGTAACTGGGTGGATGACAGTTTGGCAGTCAAAAGAATATACTTGAGCAAATCCTTCAGATCCTATTAGGTTAATGCAGGGTTTGTCAATCTTGGCATATTGACCTTTTGGACCTGATAATTTATTGTGGTAGAGGGTCGTTGTATGCATTGTAAGATGCTTAGTAGCATCTCTGATGTCTACCTATTAGAAACCAGTAGTACACTGTAGTTATGAAAACCACAAATGTTTCTAGACATTGTCAAAGTCCCCCAAGGAGCAGAATTTCTGTATGGAGAAACACTTGGTTAAACCATGGGTAGAACTGAAATATGTTTCTTTCTTACCTAGAGTCTCTTCACTTGAAAACTTTGTTTAACAATTAAAATACAAAATTTTAGTTGATATTATAAGTTTGATTATAGATAGCAGGAAAGAACCTGTGGTAGAAAGAACCTGGACAGAAGTTAAAAGTGAATCTACTCCTCAATAGCTATATGAAATAATATTTCCCCTTTGAGAATGATAATGAAAAATGATATATAATTAAAATATCACTTTACTTTTGTAAAGGAGTCTTCAAATAAATTATTTTGTACAATTAATACTTACTGTAGGCATGATAGGTAAGACAGGATCTCATCTTATATGAACTGAGGCCAAATGATTTGTCTGGACTTAGGTAGCTAATAAATGATAAAAAGCAGAACTCTGAGCCAGGTCTTATGATCTAGTGTATGTTCTATTCTAGGTATCAGTTGCTGATTGATAAAGCTAGATGTGGAACTATTTTCTTGAGGATGTTACTTTTAATGCAAAAAATCTTAAACCAGAGTTCTTAATCTCTAATTGCAAGATCAGAAGAAGATTCCTTTGGGAATACAGTGGTTTTTCTGATGGCTAATCTAAGGTTCATTGTAAATTATATAGTAGTTTATTCTTGTTTTAAAGTTTGTAGACTAATCCAGATCTTTGAAATGGACAAACCTTGCAGTAAAAATTTTCATGGACTATGTGAGAAAAACTTTAGTATGGAGTCAGACTTAAAAAAAAAAAAAAAAAAGTCAAGATTCTTCTACCACTTGCTCAGTTAGCTTCATTTTATCCATGAGATCTTACTCCAATGGTCTCTACATCTTGCCATAACTCACTGAATACATGGAAGGTCTATGGGAAAGAGGGATTATTGGGTGAAAGTGATGAGAAATTAAAGTATGGTTGGGTGTGTTTAGAAGCAATTATTTGACCTTAAACACAAAATTAAAATGTCAAAGATAAAATATTTGTGTGCAGCTGCTGCTATCACTTTTTTTTTTTAAATTAAAAAATTTTTTTTTGTAGTTGTAGATGGACAGCATGCCTTCATTTATTTATTTATTTTTGGTACCAGGGATTGAGCTCAGGGGCACTTGACCACTAAGCCACATCCCCAGTCCTATTTTGTAACTTACTTAGAGACAGGGTCTCACTGAGTTGCTTAGTCCCTCTCTCTTGCTGTGGCTGGCTTTGAACTCACAATCCTCCTGCCTCATCCTCCCGAGCTGCTGGTATTACAGTGTGTGCCACTGTGCCTAGCTTATTTTATTTGTTTATTTTGATGTGGTGCTAGGGATCAAACCCAGTGCCTCACGCATGCTAAGCAAGTGCTCTGCCACAGAGCTGCAGCCCCAGCCCCTGCTGTCATATTTTAGTCCTTGTGACTCAACCTTTTTCTTGGGCCTGGAGTTTTATGCATCAATATTTTGCCTTTCAGGTAGAGTGCGGAGCTTAAGTACATCACTTTGGTCATTGACACACTTGACGGCATTGCACCTAAATGACAATTTCCTTAGTCGCATTCCACCTGATATTGCCAAGCTTCATAATCTGGTTTACCTGGATCTGTCATCCAATAAACTCAGAAGTTTACCAGCAGAACTAGGAAACATGGTGTCTCTCAGGTGAGGAAATGCTTACAGATGTGACTTACTATATAAAATTCTAAATTTGCCAAATAAAAATATGGGGTACTACTCATTTTTTGAAATATTTATTTTTTATTTGTAGTTGGACACAATACCTTTATTTATTTATTTTTTAATGTGGTGCTGAGGATCCAACCCAGGCCCATGCATGTGTTAGGCGAGTGCTCTACTGCTGAGCCACAACCCCAGCCCTGGATGTTACTCATTTTATAGTGGGATTTCTACATCTTTGTGAAGATTGAATTTTAAGTACAGTGCTTGATTTGGTCTCCATTAGACATTTCTTTTTCTTCCTTTGTCAAAAGAAATTTTCTTCCTTTGTCAAAATCACTTCAATGAAATACAGACTTGAAGTGGGGTGAGATTAAAATATTTAGTAAGTCTCACTTAGGATCAAGTCTGATATAACTAATCAGAAATAATTGGAAAAATTGGTTTGCTTATAAACAAAATTTTTGGGGACGTAACTATTATATAAGATAGTATATTTATATTTTATATTACAGCTCTTTAAGGGAACTGGAAAGCCTGACAAAATAGGTTTATTTCTAGTTCTTTCAGGATCCTGTAAGAATTTCTTCATAGGAGAAAAATTTTCAGGAATATTAAGACCTTATATAAATGTTGCCAGTGAAAATAAACATTGCTTTTGTATCTTATCTGTTGAGTAATAATTTTAAAAAATTACTGTGATATGTTAAAAATTAAACAGAATTTTGTTGTTTATCATCCCTTACTGATTTATTGGTTTTGTCTTAGTTTTTCTGGTCATCTACTAATGAAGGTGCTCTTTATTTTTTCTATAGTTCTCTCGAAATTTCATAATCATGAACCTAGATCTTATCTATTATATCTTATTGTTATATATTCCATCCTGTGCTTTAATGTTTATGTTCTGTGTCAGTGATTGTTTATCAGAGTACTTGTCTTTTCATGTTTTCTATTTAGTTACCTTTTACTTCTGTGATACACTAACTTGTTCTTTCTTTTTTCTTTTTTTGTTTTCATAGTACTTTGACATAGATTGTAATCATTTATAAAAATCACGCAGGTTATTGGCCATTCATTGTGGTTTATTCCTAAAGTTTGTGTAAAAAACTTAACTTTTTTTTCTCTAAATTAAACTAGGTTTCAGTTGGAAACTAATGGTATTTGTCACTCTGATTTGCATATGACAGGCATTTTGGGTGAGAGAAGAGAGCATGGATTTAGCATGAGAATGATGTGCAGTTCCTATACTCCTGACTTTAATTTGTGCTGGGAAATGAGGAAATCATAGAAACACTGTTAATTGTGGCAGTTGCACATTTTGTAGTACTTTTAATGTTGCACAGCAGTTTTGGATTAGTATAGACAGATGCTTTGAATGTAAATATCACTCATGGTATGTTAGAAAGTTAAGAATGGCAAATGTGGGGCTGGGGATGTGGCTCAAGTGGTAGTGCGCTCACCTGGCATGCATGAGGCACTGGGTTCCATCCTCGGCAACACATAAAAATAAAATGTTTTCATTAAAAAAAATGGCAAATGTGGAAATTAATAAAGCCTGATATATTAAACTGAAACAATTTTTTTTTTTCTTTAAACAGGGAATTGCTTTTAAATAACAATCTGTTACGGGTTTTGCCTTATGAACTTGGTCGGCTCTTCCAGCTACAAACTCTAGGTTTGAAAGGTGAGTTTTTTTTTTTTTTAAAGAGAGTTTTAACACTGAGTGTTAAGGTGTTCTGAGCCCTTAAAAGCCATTTTGGTTATTGTATAACCGAAAAATTTTAGTGTCATTTTAAGAAAAGTAGTTTTTTGGGTATCGAATTTAGCTTCCAGATTTCAGCATAATGTCATCATCTTAAACAAACTTGTTGGGAAACGTTTTTTGTTTTGTTTATGTACTTTAATTTTGTATAAAACTCTAAAATTATTTAGAGAAGATATTTTTTCTTTTTATTATTACTGTAACTATAGCACATTAATTGCAGAAATTGAGTTTCACTGTGTGGAGATACTTTAAATTAATGCTGCAGTTCCCCACACCCGCTCTTTTAGGATGACTTTATCGTAAACCATAGTCCAAATGCCCCGTGTTTAGTTTTTAATGCACTAGATAAAATAATGACACATTATATGATTACAAGAGGGAAAACATTAAAACAGTAAAAATTAGCTGTATCTGATTAGTGTAATTGTTTTAAGTAAAATACATTAATCAAAAATTTATGCTAGCATGTGTGAGGCACCGGGTTCGATACTCAGCACCACATACAAATAAATAAAATGAAGGTCTGTCAACAACTAAAAAAAAAAAAAAACCCAGATAAATTTATGCTCCTGAGACTTTGAATTTTACTTAGTTTGGGATGAAAGTCATCCTCATATCATATATATATATATATATATATATATATATATATAATGAAATTTGCATATGAAGAAGAGTTTATTTTTTAACAGAGGACTAAATACAAATGCACTGTACTAAACATTTTATTCTGTGCTTGTGAAGAATAAACATCAAAGTTTTATAAAGTGTATACTTTTAGATTTGTTTTCCTTTCTCAAAGATTATGAGTCTCCATGAAAATGATCTATTTGTATTTTTTATATTCTATAATGTAGCATTGCAAATGATGTTTAAGTGAGAATGGAAAGAATACTGATATTATTGGCTAAAATGCAGAAATATTAGGCTTACTGTTATATTTTCATAAATTAGATGGTTAAATGGATGGCCTGAATATCATGCTTATAGTTGATCCATAGGATTTTACTGGGATTTTTTTGTAATGTTGAAGTAGAGAAGGAAAATACTTTATTGAAAGTATTTTCTGAGGATTAGTCCAGGACATTTGAGATTTAATGGTAATAGTCCAGGACATTTGAGATTTAATGGTTAAGACATTTTTCTGTTATTTCCTATATGTTAAATCTTATTATATAGTTAAAAGAGTATGGTGCAGCAAGAGGTAGAGTAGGAACAAGTCTATTCCTTTTTGTAAAGAAATTATGAAATGGTTTTTTTTATTAATAATGTTGGATTCATAAAATATAAAATTCACAGATTCCTACTGATTATAATAATTATAGTTCTTTGTCTTTAGAACCATTATTATTATTTTTTTATACCTTTATTTATTTATTTTTATGTGGTGCTGAGGATTGAACCCAGGGCCTTTGCACATGCTAGGCAGGTGCTGTACCGCTGAGCCACAACCCCAGCCCCAGAACCCTTATTTCTTTACACATTAATCAGAACAGCTATTTTTTTCTTTTGATATTGATAGTACATCAGTGATAAATAAATAATTTATAATTGAACCTAGCAAACTTACCTTTTGTACCAGGCAGTTTTCCTAAAAAGTAATGTTAACATTTTTTCTTTTTCTTGTCTGGTACCAGGAATTGAACCAAGGGGCACTTAATCACTGAGACATGTCCCCAGCCCTTTTATTTTTATTTCTTATTTTGAGATAGGGTCTTGCTATGTTGCTTAGGGCTTTACTAAATTGCTGAGTAGTGATTCTCCTACTACAGCCTCCTGGGCTATTAGGATTGCTGGCCTGCAGCACCTTGCCTGGCCGATTTTTATTTTTCATGAATCAATTCCATATTATCTTGCATAGAAATGTATTATGATTTGGATAAGAAGTGTTCCCCAAAGCTTCTACGTTAATGCAGGAATGTTTGGAGGTCAAATGATTAGATTATGAAAGTAGTAACCTGAGCAGTCTGTCCTACTTTGAGTGGACTGACTAGATAGTAACTAGGCAGGTTGGGCATGGCTGGAGGAGGTAGGTCCCTGAAGGTACCTTCTGTGCCCGTACAGCCCCTTCACTCCTCTCCCTGGCTCTATTTCTTGGTTGCCAAGAGGTAAACAACTTCTTTCACCAAGTCCTTCCGCCATGATGTGCTGCCATGCTTTGGTCCCAGAGCAATGGACTCAGCCAACCATGGACTAGACCTCTGGAACCCTGACCAAAATAAATGTTTCATCCTCTACATCGTTTTTTGTCAGTTTTTTTTTGGTCACAGTCATGGAAGCTTGACTAACACAGATGTGTTCTTGTGTTCTTAGGAAATTTAAACTAAGTATCAACTGAATGGATATTCTGAATATTTTTCATTCAATTTTTGGTTGGTGGGGGATGCAGGTACTGGGGATTGAACTCAGGGGCACTCAATCACAAAGCTACATCCCCAGCCCTGTTTTGTATTTTATTTAGAGACAGGGTCTCACTGAGTTGCTTAGTGCCTTGCTTTTGCTGAGGCTGGTTTGAACTCACAGTCCTCCTACCTCAGCCTTCTGAGCCACTGACATTACAGGTGTGTGCCACCATGCCCAGCTTTTTCATTCGATTTTACTAGCATGATGTTAGTCCTAAAACGATTGTCTTTGGTTGGCCTTCCATTGTAGTGGCCTTTTAAACTCTATTAATACATATTCATTAAGGTCTCTTAGAAGTCTGCTTTATATGTCGTGTACCATCTCTGCTTCACCAACTGTAACTGAACTTTGTTCATGCCTTTTCATTAAACTTCAATTTGTTCTGTGGTGTACATAGGTTGAGTAGTGTTTTAGGTTTTGGATTTAGGGCAGGGTTTGAAGTATGTAAACGGATGTAATGAGATACCATGGAGATAAGACCCAAGTCTACCATAAGTCAATTATGTTTCATGTACATCTTATACACATAGCACAACCAAGATATTTTTATATAGTGTGTGTGTGTTTCTTTTTGTGGAAGTAGCGGGAATTGAACCCAGGGGTACTCTACTGCTGAGCCATATCCCAGCCTATTTAATTTTATTTTTGAGAAGGCTCTTGCTATGTTGCCATGGCTGGCCTGGAATTTGTGACCCTCCTGCCTCAGCTTCTGGACTGGTTGGGATTATTGACCTGTGCCATTGTGCCTGGCTTTATATGGTATTTTTAGTGCACCTTCATTTTTACTGTGATCTATCACATGAGGTCAGATATGGAACTTTCCACCTGTGGCATCATGTCAGTGTTAAAATGTTTTTGACTTTGGAGCATTTCCATTTTGTGATTTTCATATTAGGAATGCTCAATCTGACCTTTAGGAATGCTCAACCTGACTATATTCAGCCCTTTTCTCTTCTTTGAGAATTTGTGTAATTTTCAGTCAGTGCCACTTTGTATTCAGATGATCCACTATGAAAGAGAAATATATGTTCAGAAAAGAAAAAACAAAATCTTCCTGCCTTTTTAAAAACTGTAAGATAATAGTCAGGTACAGTGGTGCATCCAAGTGACTTGGGAGGCTGAGGCAGGAGGATTACAAGTTTGAGACCAACTGTAGCAACTTAGTGAGACCCTAAGTGATTTAGGGAAACCCTGTCTCAAAAAATAGGGCTGGTAATGTGGCTCAGTAGTAAAGCACTCCTGGGTTCAATCCTTAGTACCAAAAAAAAAAAAAAAAAAAAAAGAAATTGACAAAATCAAGAATGCCCTAATGAAGTGATTGAAGAAATGTTTGTAACAAATCACAACTGTATATACTTAGGAATGTAAAACTTGAAGTAATTTCTAAATCAATCTTAGTAGCCATATTGTGGTTCTTCTTGTCAAGAAAGAAAGAAAAAGAAAAGTGAATGTTTCATTTAAAATAGCACTGTGATATCCTTAAAGAAACAATGGGAGTCAATGATTTTATTTTTGTATTGAAACTGAAAGAGGGGTGTCTTTTCTCTATTTTCTTTTCTTCCTTAGAAACACAGATACTGAGCTTTTAATAATGTTTGGATCATCTTGGCTCAACAAACTAATTTTTAGAAATTCTTTTTATTTTTAGAAATTCTATTTTGAGATCTGGGGAGTGTGTATTTGAGGGTAGGTTGTTTGAGGAATTCAGATAATTCAGACCCCTATCTCTAAATAAAATTTAAAGGGCTAGGGATGTGGTTTAGTGGTTAAGCACCCCTAGGCTTAATCCTCAGTACCAAAAAATAAAGCACAACAACAAAACACTTGAAAAATGTAATTATTACTAATTTAGGAGGTAAAGTGTTATTACTGTGTTACAAGTGAACTTCTGGAAGTTACAACAATAAAACTTTTCTTTTTTATGATATTATATCCTGTAGTTCATATGAGAGGGTATAATGCAAATTCTAATTATACTCAGTTCCATTTTTTACCTTTCTGATTGGGATAATTAAAAACATGATAGAATAGTTTTATTGGTGAGATTTATAGGGAAATATATAGATTTATAGGCATAATCATAGATCCCAAAGACTTTTTTTTTGGCACTGGGAATTGAAGCCAGGGACACTTTAGCACTGAACTATAATCCCTGTCCTTTTTGTTTTTTATTTTTAGATTGTCTCCATAAATTTACTGAGGCTAGCTTATAATTTATAATCCTCCTGCCTCAGCTTCCCACGTTGTTGGGATTATAGGCATGCACCACTATCGCACCTGGCCTCCCCTGTACATTTTAAGTTTCCTGTGTGTTCTTGCATGTTTATATCTTCCTGCTGTCTTTTAGAGGTTATTTTTATCTTAAATGTTATATAAATGAAATCCTGAACATAATTTCCTGTGTCTTGCTGAATCAGCATTGTTTTAATGATTCAGCCATGTAGATGCATACATGTAATTATACATCATTTGTTTCACTGCTTTGTTGTATTCTGATAGTGAATATGCTGTAATTT